ACACACACACTGCCCCCCATACACACACACACTGCCCCCATACACTGCCGCCCCATACACACACATTGCCCACATTCACACACACACTGCAACTGTTACACACACATACTGTCCACACATACACTGCATCCCTGACATACACTGCCCCCCCTACTCACACACTACAACCTTCACACACACACTGCTCACACACTGTCCCCCTCACACACACACACACTGCACCCCTTACACATTGCACCACTCACACACACCACTGCTCCTATGCCCTACTACCGCCCCATTTCCCAGCAGACCTCAGGTAAGTTGTCAAACTGTTCTTAAGCGGTTTGACTACTTACTCTGGGAGGGGGTCCCGGCACTATTGACACCATAACCACTACACTGAGCTGTAGTAGTTATTGTGTCTGGATTATTTCTTTAAATAATCTACAAGTGCCCCTCCCGAGATCAGGCTCTGGATCCGCCACTGCCCCAGGTATCACCTAATCTGGAAATCTCTCCAGATCCTGAGAAGGGAATGACATGGGAGCCACGGGAACATAATGAGGGGTTTGTGGAAGAAAGTCTAATTTGTTGCCAAAAAAAGCACAAAGAGACTTTGCTTGCCCCCTTCTGTTACATCCAAATTTGCAGTGCTTGATGAAAGGTAAATACTGTGCGATCACATTAATCAAAGACGAGAGATCTTTTTTTTCTATTGTTGATGTTTGTTTTAATAAATTGAGATTGTAGCCTCTCTGGGTGCTGGAAGAATTAGGCTGACCTTTAGTTTTTTTGTGTGTTTGTGTGTAACTATGTCAGATATGGAAAAGAGGAGAAGATTCCCGATGTACCATACTATATTCGGGTAACGCCAAGGGAAACCAACAAACTAATGACATATGCTCGGCCACCTAGGTAAGTGTTTATTGAGAAACAGAATGACCGACCATAATCCACTAACGTTATCCAAATAAAACTTTAGTGTCCTCAGTAGGCCAATACCTTGGTTCTCTCACTGGCTGTCTGTGTACACAGCAAACCAATGAGAGAAGAGTCACATATAGAGAAAGATGTCAATGTTCTTTCTTAGCCAACATCACAAATCACTCGGGAGTACTACAGCAAGTGACTTACCAGGCATTACCTAATTTCCATAAGATATGTATTTTATTATAACAGAAGCTTTAATGGTACAAAATAAACATGTACTGGAATTACTGTAACCAGAATGTAAATTATGTAACATAAATGATCTGATAGTGTCACTATAAGTTGTACAATAATGACTGATAGATAACGAGTGATAGGGTAGCTGATGGACTGAAAGTGAGAGGAAAGCTGAAGAGGAATAAGATAAGTGACAAAATGGGCTGATGGATGGAAAGGGAAAAAATTACATAATTGTTACAACTGTATTTTAACTTTTCCTATTTTTTAATTGCAGGGACCCATTCATTTTCTCTAAGGTAAAGCCTGCATTACGTCCAAAGCAATCTAAAAAAACTAAAAAGGCTACAAATGTCCAAGAAAGAGAAGTAGACAAAAAAGAACTGGAAAATGAAACAAAGTATTCTGCAGAGTATTGTAAACACAATATTATCCTACAGCCTGAACCTATCAGAAGTCTAGAGGATATTCCCTGTCACTTGCTGCAGGCTAGGTCTCTATAGCCTACAGAGGTTATCACACATCTAGAATACAGCACTTCTCTAGAATGCCCTGTTTCTACTATTGAACCTCTTACAAGTGGATTGACAGAGCAGTTGCCAGTAAACCTTGGTCAGCCACAGTCCACTTTAGATTGTCCACATGAGCCTGCAAATCTAGATTCTCAGAACCCAGTTACAGCTCTTTTACTGCAGCCTACCTCTCTAGAGCCTTTGGTCAGCCACAGTCCACTTTAGGTTGTCCACCCGAGCCTGCAAATTTAGATTCTCAGTCACAATCATTTTTATCTCTACAGCCTACAGAGGTTATCACACATGTAGAAGACACCAATTATTATTATCGAACCTCATACAAATGGATTGACAGAGGAGTTGCCAGTAAACCTTGGTCAGACACAGTTCACTTTGGATTGTTAACCTGAGTCTATGAATCTAGATTCTCGGGAGGCTGTCAAAGATCAAGATCCAGGTATTCTTCTAGTGAGCCCAGTTTGTCCTGCTAAATCAGGCACCGGTGAAATGTTAGAGGAGCTGCCAGTAAGCTCTGACACTGTAATTTATTACTCTGAGACTACTTTAGATTGCCCCACTGTACAGCCAGAGGAGTTGCTTCTAATCAATAAAGAGGGCACACCTGAGCAGGAACAAACTGAGATAAAGAATAATCAGCCAGGAACACATGTGAGTCTGAGCAGTGACCATGAAGAGCAGCCACCTGGTGAGGCTGATAAAGTTCGAAAGAAATGCCAAGACCGTGCAGTACCTGTACTCCAAGAGAAGACAAATATTAAAACAAAGGTAGAAATGATACTCTATGACAGGGTTTCTTTACTTAGATTGAAATCTATCACACAGGAGCCAAAGGACTTGTCTGAAATAGCTAAAATCTACCAAGGTATGCTCATTAAACCTCACCTTCGACCAGTGAATCCATCACGATTTACCAGCAGGAAATATACACCTCTAACTGCAAATTTCTTCCACCCTGCTAAGGATAATTACAGACTGCCACTTGGGATGGGCCAAATGAGGTCTCAGCAAGCTCCTGGTAAGGAACCTCGCAAAATCCTTCAAGTAACTGATAATGTAAAACAGAGTACATCTGAAAAGGCTTGTAAATCTCCCATGAAAAGAGCAAATGAAGATCCCACTATGGCCAAGGCTCAAGAATTGATTCGCAGTAAAGTTTGCAGTATTCTCAATAAAATCACACCTCAGACATTCCAGCATTTAATCAAGCAAGTTAAAGACCTCTCTATACACACAGAGTATCAACTGAAAGCTGTTGTAGAAGTCATCTTTGAAAAAGCAATAGCAGAGTCATATTTCGCAGTTGTAAACGCCAGCATGTGCAACTGGCTAATAATGATTGAGGTCCCAACAGAAGACAACCCTGAAGAAAGCATTACGTTCCGTAGGCTGCTAATAAGGCTCTGCCAGAAGGAGTTTGAGGGAGGTGAAAATGGGAATGAAAGAACTGAGAAGCTGCAAAAGGAACTGGATGCTGCCACGTCACCGAAAGAAAAAACCCGACTAAAAGAGGAATTGAGTGATGCTTTTAATAAGGCATGCAGGCGATACCAAGGGAATATAACATTTATTGGGGAGCTATTTAAATTAAAACTGCTCTCTGAAGAGACCATGAAAGATTGTCTAATGAAACTACTGAACAGGAACAGCGAGGAGTCCATGGAATGCATCTGCATTTTGCTCACTACAATTGGAAAATCCTTGGAAAATGCACAGTGCCGCTTGGACAACTATATCAGCAAGATTGACATCTTTATTAAAAAACAGAAAACATCTTCACGGATTCGAGTTTTGGTGCAGGATGTGATGGAATTTAGAAGAAATAATTGGGTACCTTGACATAAACCCCAGGGACCGAAAACAATTGATCAAATCCACAAAGAGTTAGAACTGGAACCTAGAAGAAAAGAGCATTGAAAAAAAACCAAAAAGCACTACTCATTGCACTACTATCGGCAGCTTTAACACGTGAGCAAACAAAATATTTATTCAGATAAAAAGGCAATCCCACGTTAGGAAACAAACACATTAATGGTGGCATAAAAACATGATTTAGAATTACACTTGGTAGTTTCATCAATGCCAAATAAAATACACAGTGAAACTCACATTAACAACATGCATGGCTCACTGGCCTGAACCTGCAGGATTCACACTTGTCAGAACCACTACACACATGTTCCTACACACATATATTTTGTATATTGTTAATTTTATTAAAACAATAAAGTATTTTTTCACATTTATCTTGTTATACTGATATCGGTTTCTTCTTTGGAGTGTTTTATTTCCGTGGCCGTTGCTAGGTTTCAAATATACCTATAGATTCAGTCCATATTATATCTCACAGACACCATCCTAAGGCCTCATCCCTTAGTTTCTCTCTAGCTGTATAGTACACACTCCCTTTAAGAAATCCTCCAAGCACCAGCAGTCTGTAGTGGTTATGGTGCCTGGAACGCCCTGTTCCCTTCACAGGATAAGTATACAGAATTAAACAGTGTGGAAGCCTACTATAGCATAGATCATTAGGGCAGTGAAGGGGGTTAACCCTGATTTAGGAATATGAAACAAGAAGGAAAGAAACACTGTCCTAAGTTGGGATTGATAATTAAAACATAACTTTTAATAATGAAACAGATATAGATAAAAAGAATTAATGTGTAAAGAGATGATTACTCTCAAAAAACCTGAATACGAGATAAAGGAATAGAGAGGAGATAATACATGAAACTAATAGACATTAATGTGCTAAGACAAAATGTCTATGTAGACAGACCTAAGGGAAATATATATGTCGTACTATAGATATAGAAGTGGGGCTGGACTGAATAGCTGGTAAATGTTGCAATAAAGTAGCTAATAAATATTGCAATCAAGTATGCAATTTCTGTAGCAACATGAAGAGCAAAGATACATATTAGCACAATCCTAAGTGTTTGTTGGTAACAATTGTGATCATGCAAAGTTCCGACAATAATACTGATCAGTCCAACACAAAATCTATCTATATATATATGTGTATTGCCTAAACCGTAATCTTTAATATTCAGACAGTATATATTGTAATGTGCCTGTCAATGAAATAAAGCTAAACAAAAGGAATACCATTTTCCAGTCTGCCTACTAACTCCAATCATTATCGGAGTTGCAGGCAATGCTGGATAATCTGTTGCACTCTGCCGGTTAGCGTTATAACTAAGATTACAAAGTTGAACTATAAGCTATATGTAAAAATCTTCTTTACTTTGGCTTGGCAACTGTCAATATTATCAGCTGCTGAGTTCGCTTCCTAATGGAAGATACTGTCTAGTGCTGACCTGCACGTAACGGAACCTCCAATAGTAAATTCTAATAGCTATATAAAGTACAACTGTGCTTTTGAGGGCACCTATCTCATGAAATAACTACTCAACTAGCTAACTAACAAGAGAAACCCCCTGCAAGACACAACTCTGCATAATCTTAATGGTATCTATGCTTCTTTGCAGTGTGTATGCGCTGTATCAGCGCTTGCCGTGGTTTTGCAGATGGCTTAGTCTGTCCGCAGCCACAAACCATCCTCAGTTTTAAATCAAGTATCAAAGAAAATCCTAAAATATAACGTTAATCTAATAAGGAGAGGTCTAAAGAAACGGGAGGCTGAGGCTGTCAGATTGTGAGCTTAAGCCCCGACACGCGGGTGCGCGTTTCACCGGTAAAGCGGCTCTTCAAAGGGGAACAGAATCCGTGTGAATTCAGGTTTAAATATCGCGCTCTAGATCGTGATTGGTGAATGAGGATGATGACATCACCAACTGGTGCCTGACGTGGGATGGTGGTCAGAGTGGACCACAAAGATCTTTATTGTTTGCAGATTATTGTTAGTGCATTTCAAATGAATATCAAGCATTTTAAATGGCTATTGATTTTTATGCATTTCAGACATTTTCAATGGCTGTTGATTTTATTAGTCAGATATACTTATCATACTCATACACAATGTTCATAATTAGCTTTTGGTTTATATATCAAACACCTCAAATAGAGAGAACACTTGAAAAATCATAATAAATTAAAATAAATATCAATATTAAAGTAGAGATAGAAAATAGATATGAAATTAAATAAATAATATAAATATTAAATAGAGGAGCGCTATAAATGATTTTCATACAGTGATATTCAATATTATATCACATGTTGAAAAAGTAATCTCAAGAATAAACAGATAAATACATAAAAATAATATAAATAATGAAAATGATAATTAATAATAATGAAAAACGATTGTAATTAGTTTGTATATATATATATGAATTTTTTATGTGCCAATTAGAGACCAAACAACAGAATATTTGTAAAATAGAGGAGATCATTAGTTAGATGAATCCATTAATTTACTTTCAATGTATGAAAGGAGTGTAAGGAATGGCGAAACGCGGTTTGGACTTATTTTAGAAATTTTAACTGATTATTTTGATCAATTGATCTTCTTACATTGGATTTTTGTTCTATTTAATAAATGTATTTGCCTTTACCTTTGGAATCATCCCATCCATTCCTGCATACCAAACTGGATGTGGAGGAGACCAGAAGGAGATAAAAGAGGGCAGTGGGTCTCCCTTGAAAGATCCCAAAGCGCTTCACACTAAAGCCAGGTGACTGTTTGGATCTACACTTGTGAGTTGTCAATTTATAT